TATGTTCAATTATCTCAGTCCATGATGTCAGATAGGGAATTTCATTTCCGACCCAAGCTTCAAAGAATTGGTAGGTTTGTTTATCTGGTATAATTGTGAGGTCGTCCCGGATTTTCATTGCTGTTGGACAGATTTTCCGATCCAATATAATTCGCTCTCTGTAATGGGAAGATTCGAAACTAAGGATGGACACAGGTACACCCGCGGGTACCTTCGGGCCTACCCGTACCCGTGTACGGGTCGGGTCCAAAACCTGTACGGGTTACCCGCGGGTCCTCAACGCACCCGCGGGTCCCCAAACCCGTCGGTTATACCCGCGAAATTTGCAGTATACATAATATTTTATTGTTAAATACGGTGCAGTAAAATGTAGACTAATCCGCACTTTCATTTCCTTAGCTATCTGTGTCGTCCTGGGCCCGAGCACACTTGGTTTTTTGCACTGCATGCTGCTATAGAGTCATCATTTATACGAAGTAAATCGCGGCGTCCAAAAACCCGCGGGTACACGGGTCGGGTACGCGGGTTGAGCGCGGGTCTGAAATCGCGACCCGTACCCGTACCCGCCCATACCCGCGACCCGTGTCCATCCTTATTCGAAAGGTAATACAACTGGCTTACACATGTTAAATTTCGCGGTTGATTCCGTGCACTAGAGAACGAGAATACTCCAGTATATATCTTCGGCTGAACCATCCGCAGACCTTCTATGCCCCTGTGTTCTTTCAACCCCCTTCTTTGTTCAAGACCCATAATTACAAAACCGACGGTTTTGGATTGGCTGAAAGTACGTCCACGTTGAACGCTGTTTGTGTTCGCAGGATTCATGTGGTAATAGAAATCCCGGCCCCTCCCCGCAGACTTGATTCAACAGTGGAAAGACTAGTACTACTGCACCATGCTACTATGTGATGATTCAGACTCATCTCGACCGCGGCGAGGCAGCAATCGCGTACACGCAACTTTCCTTCATAATATTGTGAACACCGCCCGTCCGTCAACAAGCGTCTGCTTCACCTCGATAGACTGGGAATTGTGAAGGACTGGGAAGGCGAGCGACACTTTCATCGACTGGGTGCTCGTTGGAGACTCGTACTCAGCAGGCAAAACAGTGCAGCGTACGCAGACAGATTTTTATTTGACCGGCCGCAGTCCTGACCCTGACCCCCCGTGAAAAAACTGACTAGTAGGCCGATATCAGCCCCAACAAAATTGGATTTTTGCACTGTTTTGTCTCGGCCTGCATCAAGCGGTCTCGACGTATCGATAGTAGTATTGCTGTTATTATGACGTTTTGACGCTGCCAGCCTTCAGCGCCCTTCCTACTTCCCGCATCTCACCGTCCGCCTCCCTGACACCACCCCCGCGCCCCTCGCGTCAGCCCCGTGCCTACACTACCATCGCTCCCGTTTCCTTCCTCCGCTACCACTCCAGTGAATCTCCACTCCTTGCGTTTGCGAAATCAGCTTCCTGTAGATGTAGCAAGACTCCTAAAGTCAGGAAGTTCCCAGAATGGACAACGTACCTCAGGCTGTTTCAATGGCATTCGATTCATCGAATTTCTGTACAGTATATAGGGAACCAGTATGAAGGATCGATAATGCGAGTTAAGCAGGCATCGGCGCAGCTGCTGGTTCCGAACGGGTCGCCGACCGAAGCTTCGCACTGTAAACCCAGAATGAGCCTCGCGCCGCAGAAAGAGGAAGAAAGTGGGAAGGAAAAGGAAAAGGAAAAGGAAAAGGAAGGAAGGGAGCGGGCATGCACGCAGCGAAGCCCGCAATTGCGCGCCTTTCAGAGGTTCGCTATATGTGCAAGCATTGCCCTCTTCCGCCGCGCACGAAGACACCGTCTGAAAAAAAGGAGGACGGAGGAAACAATAACGATGTTCACCTCCGAGTCTTACCCGAAACCGTGACAGAGCTGCGAAACGAGCGAAGAGCCTTCGAAACCCGCTCCAAAACAAACAAACAAAAAATCCAAGAGGTTCGCTACGCGAGCATCGCCCTCTTCCGCCAAGACACTGTCTAGAAGAAGAAGAAAAAGGACGGAGGAAGTAACAATGATGCTTACCTCCGAGTCATACCGAAATCGGCACGGAGCCAGTGCAAAACGAGCGAAGAACCGGAGTTGAACCCCACTCCAAAACAAACAAACAAAAAATCCAAGAGGTTCGCTATGCGAGCATTGCCCTCTTCCGCGATGCGACCGTTTGTGTAGGAAGACACCGTTTCAAAAAAAAGGAAAGACTCATACCCGAAACTGGCACGGAGCCAGTGCGAAGCGAGCGAAGAACCTGCGTTGAACCCCACTCCAAAACAAAGAAACAAAAAATCTAAGAGGTTCGCTATGCGAGCATTGCCCTCTTCCGCCGCGCACGAAGACACTGTCTGAAAAAAAGGAGGACGAGGGAAGCGACAACGATGCGCACCTCCGAGTAGTACCCGAAACCGGCACGGAGCTGCGAAGCGAGTGAAGAACCCCACTCCAAAACGAACAAACAAAATATCCAAAAGGTTCGCTACGCACTTATGCAAGAAGACATCGGCTAAAAAAAAGAGGAAGGGCTCATACCAGAAACCGGCACGGAGCCACGAAGCGCGCGAAGAATCCGAGTCGAACCACGCTCCAAAACAAAGAAACAAATAAAAAATATAAGAGGTTCGGTACGCGTTTCCGCCAACGCGGCCGCTTGCACATGAAGACACCGTCCGACGAGGAAGCAACGACGATGCTCACCTCCGAGTCATACCCGAAACCGATGCGAGCGAAGGACCCGAATCGAACCCCACTCCAAAACAGATCCGAAAACGTCTGAAGGAAACAATTGAAGCCCTGAGCCAGACCGGAGGAGATTTTGGAGATATATGTAGTATCACCAGACACTCCGCACCCTGTCGCAGTTCATTATCGCCCTTGATACCATTCCGACGAGGGATGCAGGAGAAAAAGAAAAGGAGCCACGAAATAGAGAAGAGGAGAGGAGAGGATGGAGGGGAGCTATAGAGGAGATCTGGAGGGATGGATGAATTGGGGTGCAGTGGCGTGGCGAGGGTGTACCTTGGCTGCTGCCACGCCCGCTTCCGGCTATCGTGGCGACACGGCTGGCGACCAGTGAGTGTCTCTCGTCTCGTGTCCCGCACGGATTCCGCCGAGAACGACTCCTTCTCGCCTCGCCTCGCGCCGCCCTTCCCCTCGTCGCTCTCGAGGATCTCCGGGATCGCTGGCTCAACTCATTGTATTCTTCCTCCCTTACTTTCTGGATGACACACACCGCGCGCGCCCATTTCTACCCGCTCTCCTCATAAGCACCTCCTCGCGCAACGCTGACGACTACCCTTCCCCCTAGGCACCACACATCCGACACTTTGATGAGGAGGGCGCCGTGGGCGTGGCCGCGGCTGACGCGACTCGGAAGAAGAGCGCGCGCCCTAGCGACTCGGCGACGGGGGCTCATACGGGGTGAAACCGACGACAGAAACGGGGATGATGTCCATCCGCGCTCGCCCGGAAATCGACATCCACCCCGATGTGGAAGCGAGCGATGTCCACGCACACGGTGGGCTACAGACGCGGCCTGCGTCATGCATCTGTGCAGCGCCGTAGATCGAACACCGCTGTAATCCGATCCGATCCCACCGCGACGGGCGGCACACAGCGGGCCGCGCGCCGTCTTCAACGCGACCGCACGAGGGAAAGGTGCGGACAATGTGACGCGTCGTGGGCGGGTGCGGCGAGGGCGGTGCCGACGCTGGGAATGTGCTCGCATAACACGTGGGGTGACAGGCGACGGAGGCACGGCAGTAGAGGTGGAGGTGGAGATGGAAGCGGGGACCGGGGAGGGGCAAGGTGGAGGGGATAGAGATGGACGGACGTGAGAAGAAGGAACGCGTTAACGGGCCGGGACGCGAGCCGGCCCTTGAGGACCGAGGAAGGACACACCGCCAGACTTCAAGGAAGATGCAGCATTTGGAGTACTGGGGACGTGGAAGAGGCAGCGAACTCGGACGACGACGACGCACAAAGTTGGACCGACGCACTAGCAGGGGCTGTAATGCTTGCTCTCGGGCCCCATGTGCGACTCTGCTGCAGGCGGGTGCGAGGGTTGCGGGGAATCCGTGTGCATCTGTCTGTGTCCGTCGTTGCGCCCAAGGATTCCGCTAGGGCGAAGCACAAACTTGAGGGTCTGCAGTCGATCCCAAACTCCGTGTGTGGGGTATACATAAAGAAATTCACTTGGAGTGGCGTCATAGCTCAGCTGGGAGAGCAACAGACTGAAGTGTGCTTGAATTTTGAGGTAATCTGGAGGTCCCGTGTTCAATCCACGGTGATGCCATTATTTTGACAGCTTTTTGCACCCTGGCTGCTCTGGGTTACCACCAGGAGTATGTTTGAGGCGTCCAACGTATCTTCCGCCCCTCATTTTTTGTCTTTTCCATGTCGATTCAGTACACAACTCAAATACCGTCGCCACGCGGGCTGCTCACATTTATACACACAGCCATGTTCATAACGGCTGCTTGGTGTAATTTTCTTGTCGCCACCGTTGGGAGTCTTCATATCCGTGCGTCCGTTTCATTTTTCCACTTGCAAACCATCTCTAACCAGGATCTTGACTCTGATTCTTGAGAAGTCGAGGCTACGACCTTACTGGGACAGCTGCAGGGAGTGCAACAAGGGGCCGTATACGCTGAGCGCGACGCCACCGCGCCTCGCGATGTGTGTGTGTGCACGTGCTACTGGCCCGAGCCCCGCCCCTGGGCGTCACCGGCACTTCACGTCTTGCAGTGCGGGGTGGTCCTCACACATGGCTCGGCGGGCGAGAGCGCACTATGAAACCAGCAAAGACTATAGGTGCACTGTATCATTGGTATTTTTTTGCTTTGTTCCGTCTTATGCTTGTTCAGAACTCCGAATTGAACCTAGAACTTGGGCAGGTGCTTAAGCCCGAACTGTACATAGCTAAAATAAATCAATATGATTGCCATTGTTAATTGTGGTATGGTTGCGTGGTGTAGGTGGTTATCACTCGAGATTCTGATTGATTGTAATTCTCGTAACCCCGGTTCGAATCCGGGCGCGACCTGTTTTTTTCTTTCCTTTTCCTTCCTCTCACTCGTCAGATTTTACCGTTTCCAACTCAAGCTTTGCACATTCTTAGATCGCCTGCACGCTGACACTGCCCCGAAGTCAGCACAATTGCAGGATGAAGAGATCCTGGAAAAATATGAGGCTCATTTAATATTGCTTCAAATTGGATTGTATATTTCGACTCAATGCACTACTGGCTGGTTTCACTATTCCAGCGCGAGGAGAGAAGAAATTGTCTGTCAAGAGGCGATATAAATAATGGACTAAACTGGATGACGCTTCCGGGATACTTGCGCATCTCTCTATGAGGAACCTCTATGAACAAATTTCTTCCTACAAGGGTTACCCCGGTCTGTGCGCTACGGGCAGAACAAGACTGTATCGTTCTTGTGGAGTTGGCAAGTTGCTCAATCGTGGAAACAGGCCCAATGCATTCGCTGCCATGACATCCTCGAGCTGCTCTTTCCGTCGCCTACTATTTCTGCCCGGAATGGTAGCTTCGATACCAGTACTTACGCGCCACTTCCCCGAATTCCGAAAAAATAATTTGTGCAGCACCACAAAATAAAACCAACAGCGCTGACCAGAAACACAACTTAGCCAAGTCCTAACGTGTGGATCGTCCGCGTTACTACATATTGAGATTTTTGCCGCAAAAGCACCATCAACGCCGGCGCCAGGTCGAGACATTTAGAATCCAAACAGAAATTGTATTTTTGGCAGAGGCCGTACTGGTTACGAAAACGTCTCTTGCATCGTCAAGTCTCCGAGCCTTTTCACTGCAGCTGCCTGCCCCGCACTCTGGATCGCAAAGTCTCGAATTATTCGGGCTTGCCAACATTAAGAGTCGTCAGGAAATTGTCAAGTGGCTATGCTATCTTCCTTCTTCTCCACCAACGACACTGGCCCAGTCTGGCTGCCACATTACTGCCAGTGCCACCATTGACTATTTTTGCTATCACGGGTCTCAGTAAATCATGTTTCTCCTGCATAGCGCCAGGTAGCAGGCGGAATCGGTAGCAAAAACCGCACACTCGTTCACCCGCTTGTGCTCGTTCTCATTGTGAACTAGGTCTCGTGCAGGATTTCTTGGCAACCGTTGGTTCTCGTTGATGCCTCCGTCGAATGGGCCACGATTCCGGTTCGCATGATACGCTCAACGCGCGCAATTGATGTTGGCTCCATATAAAAGGCTCTGAAGGAAAGTATGCAACGCACTAGTTCACTTAGTTTCATCATCCCGGCATGCTCGCACTCACCCTCCTTCCTGCCATCCTCCTTGCTCTGCGCGTCGCTGCTGGCCCTATACTCATCGAGGACAACTTCGTCAGCCTGCCCCTTTCGCGCAAGTTCAACTTCACGGGGTCAACTTCCCTTGCGGAGCGGGACTATGCTCGCGTCAAGGCCTTCAAGTCGCGCTCGTCGAGCGGTGCCTCCCGCGCTGTCGTATCGGAGCCTGTTTCCAACCAGGTTGTTCAGTACCTGGCCGCCGTCGGTGTCGGCAGCCCCGCCACTACCTGTGAGTCTGGACGGTATAGCTCGAGGAGCTTCAACTGAACTTGTTGTTAGATTCGCTCATTGTCGACACCGGGAGTTCCAACACCTGGGTCGGAGCGGGCAAGGCATATGTCAAGACCTCGACGTCGGCCAAGACTTCTCAGTCGGTGGTAAGCGCCTGCGAGGCTAGATTGTTTATTCGATAACGATTTTCCCTCAGTCGGTCACCTACGGCACTGGTTCCTTTTCTGGCACCGAGTACACCGACACGGTAACTCTTGGCCGCGGCCTCGTCATCACCAAGCAATCCATCGGTGTCGCCTCCAGGTCCACCGACTTTTCCGGCATTGACGGTATCTTGGGAATCGGCCCCGTTGATCTTACCGAAGGGACCTTGACCAAGTCCCAGTCGACTGTCATCCCCACCGTCAGGGACAACCTGTTCAGCCAGGGCACCATCTCCGCGGACCTCATTGGCATTTCCTTCGAACCCGCCAAATCGGACGACGATGCCAGCGGCTCCATCGCGTTCGGTGGGACTGACAGCACCAAATTCATTGGCTCCGTCGGCTTCACACCAATTACCTCCACCTCGCCTGCCAATGAGTACTGGGGCATCAACCAGTCGATCTCATACGGCGGTACCACCATCTTGAGCTCCACCACCGGCATCGTCGACACCCTCATCCTCATCGCCACAAACGCTTTGACGAAATACCAGAAAGCGACTGGCGGTGTCCTCGACAACGCCACCGGCCTCCTCAAGATCACATCCGCGCAATTCGCCGCGCTGTCGAACCTCGACTTTGTCATTGGTGGGGTTCGTACAATACCAATGCGTACCTTGAACAGAGGACAATTGAGATGAGATGTTCTTTAGATCACTTACGCTTTGACCCCCAACGCACAGATCTGGCCGCGCTCCTTGAACACCGCCATCGGTGGTACCGCGAGCGGAATCTACCTCGTAAGCTCCGTCCCTCGTTTCCCACTGTGATGCATATATTAAATGTGGCTAATTAGGTTGTCGCTGACCTCGGGTCGGACTCGGGCGAGGGCCTCGACTTCATCAACGGCTACACATTCCTCGAGCGCTACTACTCCGTCTTCGACACCGCCAACAAACAGGTCGGATTTGCGACTACGGCTTTCACGACCGCTACCACGAACTAAGAAAATAGATCGTGATGTGAGTTCTGCGACGTGCTGAATTTGCGGAGCCTACGTTTGTGTTCTTGTCTGTTATGTACCGGTGGACATTTAGCTCTCGATCGCAATTGTAACACTCATTCAAACAAGTTCTGAGACGGACCGATGCTGATGAGCACAGCAGGTTTGGTAAACCAGCATTGTTCTTGTTTCTCCCTTTAACCGCAGCCGGACTGAGCAATACACGTTCGAGTAACGACTGCTTTCTCACCTCGTATTTCATGCGGTTGAAGTTCAATGACACAGTCAACAACAAGGGCATTGATACCAGTTTCCTCATTGGTTCGTTTCTGTCGCTGGTCCGCTCGAGCCAGCTTCCACGGGAAACCGCCCTGAGGAGCACCTGCTGGGCGTAAAATTTTCCGCGGCTGGGGCGCCGATAACCTGAGTACCGGACGTCCGCGCAACGAGACAACGGAGTAGGAGGAAGATAGCGGTGCCGATAAGAGGGTACATGGACAATCACGAACGATCCGACGACGTACAAGAAGAATGGGTGCAACATGGTGACATATAACATCAAGGTGGCGGAAACCAGTGGACGTTGCAGCTCGGCAAATTCGCAGCGGAAGTCGACATAGCAAATATTTGGAGCAGATATCTGTCCGTACGCTCCCACAGTGCGTAATGCCAGTGAAGTATCGCCGTCGTTCTAGACAGAGTAAAGTAGAAATGGGTTCACCAATCTCAGAGCAGCCAAATTACGAGACGTTCAGCTGCATCCAGAAATTGAAATCCCGCTTGTATCCAAAGATAAATATACTTCGGACTCACTGTTCCTAAGCAGCCAACAGAGCTAATCATTCGAGCGACGAGGGAATGACCAGGCCGGGTTAGAGACACGGCGATGAGATGGAGTTAAGGCCATTTGGAGCCATTTGGTCGCTAATGGGGAGGCGAGGTATCCAACAGATTGAAATCGCGAGGTGAATGCCATAGGCTGAACGGGAAAGCGCTTGTGGACTTGTTGTGGAAGAGGAGAGAGCGAGATTTGATGGCGATCAGTGATGCCAAATACTGACACGTGCCGCTGTGACCAACGCGAGACACCCCCAGTTCCTTACTCGAGGTTCGCACCAGTCAACGATGCGAATCTTGACTTGGAATATCGTGAGTGCGCTTGCTAGAATTCAGACCCGCTCACACCATTCTACTCCAGAATGGGGTCCGTACGATACCCCAGTACCACCCGTACGGCCGATCTCATGGCATCTTCAGAAAATAACGAATATTGCAGGTGGAACACCATGAAGACGCACGATGACATCCTCAACTTCCTTCAGGCCGATATAATATGCTTCCAAGGTAGTCGCTTCCCCCCACACGCGTCTATATTAACGTGGCACAGAGATGAAAACCACGCGCCAAAATCTTCCCAAGGCGGTCGGCGTCCCGCCCTCTTACCACTCGTTCTTCTCGTTTCCGCTGCAGAAGAACGGCTACTCTGGTGTCGCAGTCTATGCGCGCACTGAAACCGTCCTGCCCCTCAAAGCCGAGGAGGGCCTAACAGGCTTGCTACAGCCGAAGCCGCCTTTGTCCGCTGCAGAGCGCGTTTCCGTCCGCGATGCGTATCCTGACGAAATCATGGCGGATGACGCGCCGGATCTGGACTTTCGGGACCTCGACAGCGAGGGTCGCGCGCTCGTCGTCGACTTTGGGCTGTTCGTGCTCGTGAACGTGTATTGCCCGAACGACGGCACGGAGACCGAGGAGCGGCTGCAGTATAAGATGCATTTCCACCGCATGCTCGAGGCGAGGGTGAAGGGCCTTGTGGAGGTGGAGAAGCGCGAGGTTATCGTTGTGGGCGACCTGAACGCGTGCGCAGCGGTGGTGGATCATTGTGAGGGGCATCTTATGGTTACGCGGGGTCAGGCGGAGGGCATGGTGGGCGAGGACGGATTTTGGGAGCGTGATGTTCGGCGGTGGCTTCGAGATTGGTTGATCTCGGATGATGTCGACAATAAAGGCTGTCTCGTCGATGTCGTGCGGCGTTTTTGGCCCGACCGCAAGGGCATGTACACCTGTCCGTCCGTCATATTGTATGTCTACTATTTTTGCCTAACGAGTCATGCGATTTCAGGCTGGAACACCAAGATCTCTGCGCGAGATTCCAACTACGGCACACGGATCGATTACATTCTCATCACGCCCGGTCTACTCCCCTGGGTCAAGGCCGCCGACATCCAGCCGGAGATCAAAGGCAGCGACCACTGCCCTGCTTTCATTGATCTGCACAACCAAATCGTCGACGCGCACGGCGCCACGGTTAAGCTACGTGACGTATTGAGA